AACACACTCAAAATTATGTAAAATAATCTTTACATCTTCACAAGGGAGTCAGCTGTGGTTTGTGCTCTCTGATGTCACTTATGCACATCCCAGCAAGGGTCTGGTGTAAATAGCCAGCACCAGTCCCAGGGTGAGTGGCATTGACAGTGCAACTCCAGATCCATTCTACTTTTCCCCTCTGTGCTATCTTCAGAAAAGGTGAGAGAAGGCCATCCCTCTCTGTCTAGTAGGGACAGTCAGGTATTCACAGGTATTCTTGAGTTAAGATGGTCCATGTTTATCCAATTTTAATTCAGCAAACACTTACTGAACTCCTTTCATTTAGCAAACGTTTACTGTACTTTTCTTTGTATTGTGGCTGTAGGGATTAATCATGGTCTCTTTCCTCGAGGATTTCACAGTCTCTTGAAGGAGTCACATCAGTAACCCAGCAGTAACCATGCTGAAGTAACATAGGGTGCTGGAGAGTCCATGGGTAGGCAGATTATTCATCGTGGTAGTGGGGCACAGGGGGAGGTCTCCAACTAAAGTGTCCAGAGAAGGTCACACTGGAGCTGACTCTGCTACTCTGAAATGTAAGTGAATTACATAGAATAAGCCCCAAACCTTACTTCCCAGTTGGAAACGTTTGTCTGTCTTACTAAGTGTGAACTGTGACTCAAACATAATAATGAGCCTGGATATTGTTTTACTGGTTTCCCATTCCCAATCCTGCTTCTTCCTCCTTTTAGTTCAGGGTGTTAGATACACACTAAAACAAGTTAAGTATTTCAAGTGTCAGAGTGCCATTTTAGAGCTCATGACTACACTGGTGGAGTCTATTTTCTCAGGGGAAATAATTTGCAAGAATTATAATAATCGTAAAGACACCTTCACTTGTACTATGGCTCTTAGAAAATACTTTAATGCGGATGATGTTATTTGGCTAATACTTAACATATCCTTTCAGTGACTAGAATCAGTCTTTCCCAGACAAAATTCCAGGGCCATAACCCACTGTTAAGGGCTCACTTGTGTCAACCTCAATTCATATGTCGAAGTCCTGGATTGTGTCATGCTGCAGAAATGCTGTGTCATGCTGCAAAAATATTTAAGTGAGTCTCAGAGCAATAGATTACCAATAGATTACGTGGGTACTCACTGAGAAGGATAAACTGTACATTTGATAATGTCTTACCATACATCCATTAATCTGAGTAATTTGGCAAGTGGGAAGAAAATATAAAAGCATCCCATTTTATGTAAATTCACATTTTCCCACAGACTTTATAGACAACACAGAATCAAGATACAGTTGTAACTCATTATAATTCTAACCTCAGAATTAGAACCTGCAGCATGTACAAATTCCAGTCATATTGTGTCAACCCCAATTCATAAGCTGAACCCCAAAATGTGACTATTTGGAAATAAGGTCATTGCAGATGTCATTAAGAAGAGGTCATCCTGGAGTAGACTGGGTTCCTAATCCAATAGGACTACTAGCCTTATAAAAGGTGAAATTTGGATGCCAACACTCATAGAGGGAAGGCAATGCGAAGAGACACAGGGAGGAGATGGCCGTCTACAAACTAAGGAGAGAGGTTTGGGACACATCCTTCCCTCACAACCATCAGAAGAAATCAGCCTTGCACACTCCTGGTTTTGAACTTTTAGCCCCCAGAACTGTGAGACAGCACATTTCTGTAGATTTAGCCACTCAGTCTGTGGTACTCTGTTAGTCAACCAAGACTCCCACCAACTCCAGCATCACGGCTTCCAGCAGAGAGAATACAGGTCTATTGAAGTGTTGCCCCAGCCAGTCCAGAGCCCTTCACCTTCCTCTGTGCCGCCAGCAGGACTGGGAGTCTTCTTCTCAGAGATGCCAAGCATGAGTTGAGAATTCAGTATGGCCTGGCATGAGGACCTTGTGTCTTCTAAAAATGGTATTGGAGGAGGATAAGAACTGACAGATTAGCTTTCTTTTATTTTGTGGAATGTTGGACAGGGAAGAAAAAGAGAAAGAGCCCTCAGGGCACTTTAATAATTCTTACTTTTAACCAGCTGTGAAAGAATTCACAAGTTATTGACAGGATATTTTTAAGGAGAGAAGGTATTTTTTTGTGGATTTTCTTTTCAAATGACCAAAAAAAAAAAAAAAGAACACCCACCACCAAACCCTTCACTTTATTTTCTTAAAGATTTGTAACACTCTATAATCTTCATCTCAACTCTCTTTTTTTCCCCTCTAAATTTCAACACTTAATGATCAATATTATTTAATCCCATGCCTAATTGTTCCTAGTTGCCCAAGAGGCACATAATTTACTTTCCCTGATTTGCAAAAGACATGTATATTTGTCTAAGGGACAGATTATAACATAATTATACTTTCTATTTTATAATGTGATAAGCTATTAGTAGTAATAAAGTCTATGCATATAATCATCATTTGAATTTTGAAAATGACCGAGTAGGAAGCAAGTTGGAAAGAAATGTGGTATCTAGAAAGTGTATTGGACTTGGAATAAGAAAACCTGAGTTTAAATGCAAGCTCTGACTCCTACCTCTGAAACTGTGAGCTGCTCCTATAACCTCACTGAACATTGTTCAAGGCTATGAGATAGTGATCTCCTCCATATGTTTATTCTGAGGATTAAAATTAGATAATGTACATCATATCATCTGGCACGATGCCTACACATAGGTACATCCTAAAAAATAGCTAATGGGAGTTTGTTAACTTGAAAGCTATATTAGAATAATAAATGGATGTTATTTACATTCTAGTTGTTCTGTTTTTTAAATAACATGTTTCTTCTCCAATTTGAAAGCTTCTTAAAATTAAGTACAAAGGACCTAACCTATAATCTATTTTTCAAGGCACCTAGTTTTAGGATGTCATTTAATATTTACTGAGGGCTTGCTGCGTACCAGGAAGTATTCATTATCTATTCTCTCATCTGGTCCTTATACAAACCTGAGCAGGGAGACACCATTACTTCCATGAGGAAAGAGGAAACTGAGGCTTAGAGAGTAAGTGCAAAGTCCCAGCTAGGAAGGGAGGGAGCTTATCCAGGAAGGGGCTCAGGGCCGAGACTGAGCTCTTAACGTCTGCACTAGGCTGCCTCCCCATGCAGGGAGATCATCCCAAGCACTACCCTCTCTCCATCCAGAGGATGGCTTATGGAGAAAACATTTTTTATTTAGAGAGATAACTAGCAAAAGGGATTAGATTTATTATTAACACAGCATAAAGAATGAAGACTTCTCAGAGATCACTGCTGTCTTTAATCTCTTCTTGAAAGAAAAGTCTTGGGAAAGGATAAATGAAAGTGAACAATGCCCAGCCTTGGGAGAGAGATGGTTTCCCACATCTGAAATGACTCACGTCTTAACCTTTTTGCTCTAATTTCTCTTTGCATGTATCCTGTGATTTACTCTCTGGATGATGGCTCTACAGCAGATTCCCAGCTAACGCACACAGACATTATCCATTTCAGAAGAGACACGCACTCTGCTTGTGAGTGGTCACTTTCCCCCTAGCTGCCCATGTTGCTTTTCCCCTGGGAATACACTGTCTACCATGAAGTGGGTTAGGAAGCAGAACTACCTCACACAATAAGAACGGCAGGTTGATTCTGTGGTGCTTTGCTACATCAGTTACGACCAATTGATCCCAGGTATCAGAGACTCCTTTGCCTCCTGGGACCGTGGTGGTGCTTATGTGATGCTGGTTTTGCAACATGGCCTACAGAGGGTTGATCCTGCCCAATAATTAGGGGCTAACTTGGTTTTGCCTCATCAATCTGGTTCATTTCGCCTCAGACACATTTTTCTCCCAAAGATTATCTCCACAAACCCCAGTGCTGAGGAGAGTGAATTCCAATAAAACCCAATAAATCTGACAGAAAAATGTGGAGTTAGAGATCCACACAGACCATGAGGACTGTCGCATTAAAGGCTCCTGGGGATTTTTTATGACTTTTTTTTCCCTCCCTCTAATGCTTGGTCTCTTGCTTCCATAAATTGTACGGGCTGGCTTTTCATTAACTCAGAAAGCTGAAATAATTCTTTGTGAAGAATTCTTTAGTCACACATGATTCAAAAGTTCACCAAGATCAAAGCCAGTCGGCTTAGTGGCAGGCCCAACACCGTATATTTCATGGCAATGGTGTGGCTTGCTGCCTTCTCAGCTGGAGTTGCTCCAATTTCACATCCCTTCTGCAGATAATGGGACCCTCTGATACTGTCCCCAGCACAAGAGGTTGCTCTGTGTCTGATCCCATCTCCCCGATGACCCATACAGATGCTGTCTGTACGAGCTGGTGAGGTCATTCTGACCCTCCCCCCAATATTATCTGAAGTTTCATGAGGCATGAGGGTCCATCTTGGCCCTAGGGGGTCTGGGGCAGTGGGGTGGGGGAGGCGGGGAGTGGAGCAGAGAAATGTTTCATTGTTCAAGCCTCCTCTGTTGATCTTATTTTCCCTTTAGGGGGGTGGGATGTGTTAAAGAGGCCCAAAGGTGAGATTAAAGTAAACCAAGAGCAACAAGAGCAGACAGTCTTCCTTCTTGGGGATATTGCTCTCTTGTTCTGTCTTATTGTCCTTACGTTTTTCATTTTAAATATACGGGCACAGGAGGAAATGATGTGTGAGAGACATGGGAGAAAGAGCTTGACAGTTGGGCTGTAACAACAGCAGAGCTGGAATCATAGAGGGCCTTTCAAGAGGCTGGCCACTGCCTTGCAGCCCCCGTCGTGGGCAGAAGCTCAGAGCTGTTCAGAGATTCACCGCACACTAGGACAGCGCAAGTACAGAGAGGTATGAGGAGAGTGAATTCTTCATGATTCGGAAGAGGGAAAAGGGTGTCTTGGCAAGTGAACTCCAGAGGCTCCGGGTGCCTGTTACTGTGTGCCTGTTGGCTGCCGCATTGCTTAACTGATTGCTGTCTAAGCCAGTTTCCAGATGAGTCCTTGGAATGCATGAGCATTCAGTCCCATGTGTGGCCAGTAGTGGCTATGGCATCTAAGAGAGCTTCCAGGGGCTCGGAGGAGGCCCAGGGACGAAGGACAAAGATAGGAAATGATGGAGAGGCAAGGGATGGTCCTGGGAAGGACATCCTGGAGGGATGCACCCTCAAGGAAGAGAGATGGAAAGTCAGCCAGTTGCAGGAGGTAAGATGGATGCCTGCACCTGGCACATCGCCGTGTGCTGAGTGGAGTCAGCAGTCCTGTTTCCATCTGGTAGTCTGGGTAATTTCTCAGGGACTTCACCAGTCTAGGTAACATGGCCTTTCCATTATACAAAATTCAAACCCTAAAAATGTCAGATTCTGGTTCATCCCTTCTCTTGGCTGGCACGACTTGGGGCCAATTGCATTACCCCTTCTGCCTTAGTTTTTCACATCTCCATTACAGGATCAGGGTGACTAAGCCTTAGCTTATTTTGTCAGAATGTTAATGAATAGAATAATATAGGGAGTCATTCAAACTTGTAGAAAAATGCTGTTTGCCAACATAATGGAAATATTGACAGTGAAGTGGGAAGAACAAAAACTGGTTTTCTACTATTCCCAACAATAGCTCATACATCACAGAAGCTGCAAGTCAGCCTCCCCTCCTTCCTCCATAAGGAGCAAACTCTATTTTCAAAAATGGAAGCATCTGGTTAAATATTAAATAGGAGAGTCATTCTTCTGAGGTCTTGCTTTGCCAGCACTTAGGTAGCAGTTAAGTAAGATGGCCGTTGGCTTTGACGGCCATACATTTATGATGCTGTGTAAATAATAACTGACAGCAATTCCACGGCAATCTTTCCAAGGGTCTCGCCTCTCTTTGCACTCTATTCAGTGGCTTATGCACACCCACATGCGCACACATACGCACACATGCACACACACACACTTTGCCTGACTATCATAATAGCTATTGTCTTCTCCCCTCCCCTTTTCTTTCAACAGATGTGTCCATTTTCAGTTAATGCAAAGGAAATGGCAGCTTTTAAAGGTAGCCTTTTGCAGTGGCAAAGGGCTGCATTAACTTTAAAAACCTTTTAGTTGCACAGGTTTTATATTCAGACTCTCCTCCCCAGGCACTGTCCCCCAGCTCTGCATTTCCCTTCAGGCTTACTGGCTACTGGGAGGGCCGGCCTGCGGGGCTGAGCGGGAGCAGCTCACAGCAGCAGTAGAAGTGGCAACAGCTGAGAAACTGTAGCTCTCGGCTCCTGGGCCAGGGAGGAGTGGCAGTTAAAGCCCCTGACAAAGTAATGTTTTATGTGTTTAAAAAACATTTAAAGGAAAAGTTTGTTGTGCCAACCTGTGCTCAAGATGCTAATGATATTTGTCTAGGCCATTGGCCAAATAAAACACATTCACAAATAGGAAGTAGAAGGACACTTGAAATAATAACTTGGATTTTCAGATTGTCTCAAAATGTAATTAGCATATGAGCTTAGGAGACCTGGAGATTCACAGGGCCACTGTGGGGAGACGCTTCAGCCATAAACTGACCTCACGTGAAACCAGACAGGAGAGAAAGCTTGCATGTTTGTGGTGTGGGAAGATCTCCCCAAGCAATGGAGAATGCTGTCTCTATGTGCCAACAAGGGAGTTGGAGAGAGGGCCCAAGGATGCCGTTCATGTGGGGAAGATTCTGGAGGGCGATCACACAGAACCCGTCTAGTCTCTAAGGCCTCACACTTTAGCCAGTGAATGAGTCCTACAGGCCTTATTCAACAGAGTATGTTACTGGAAAGACAAACCTCCCTCCCTTCCACCTTGCCCTGTTGTCCAGGTATGGAGAATGCACAAAATAACCCGAGGAGTCTAAAGCGCTCTCTGGAAATTTAGAAATGCAGGAAAACAGCCATCAGCTCAAGTTTTAGAACTGTCCATTCCATCTTGGCTCAAACTTTTGTTACTCACTGGAAGAACTCCCTGCAAGGATCATACCTTCTAACATTCTATGTCCTTCTAAAGGCTGCTCCTGGCATAGGTGAGCAGAGGGCATGTATCCTTCGTGAATGCATTTGACTACTACATTAGGATATTTGCAACGTTGCCATACTCCTCTAGGTGGAACTGAGAATCACTGAAAAGATAGGCTCCTTCATACACAATTTAAACACCAACTATATACATTGCTAAGTTCTGGGGGATATGAAAGTTTTCAAGACAGATAATCTTTGCAGCTTCCTTTGTTGTGCAATCCATGTCAATGATGAATCTAAACTCCAGCAAGAAACCTACCAACACTTGAACGTGAATTTTTGTTCTTGAGTTCTCTCAGCAGATGAAATCTTCCCCCAACTGGCCAAAGTGTCTTCTCCCCTCATGTTTAACTAACCCACAGATCATAGTGGTTCCCAAACTTGGCTTTCAGTGGAATCACCTTTTAAGACACATTGACCCTTAACCTTCCTGAAGTTTTGATGTAATTGGTCTGAGATGCACCCCAAGTGATTCTATTGAGCAGCCAAAATTGAGCACCACTGCTAGACTCACATCATTTCCCTGTGGCTGTTTCCAGGTAACAGGCCATAACCAATCCAGCTGCAGGGAGTGAATTCCCCATTCCTGCCTGCCCTGTGCCCTCTCTTATGCCCAGCATACAGGTCTTCACATGTTTGCCAAATGAACTTGTCAAATGAAACAAAGTTTCTGATACCAAGAATAATTCGGTTTCTCTAGAAGGCTACAGTTTTCAGGAAAAGAATATTGTGGGTATTATTATCTTGAAGTTCTGCAGGTGGTAGCTCTGTGGAAGTCTGACACAAGACTCACCAAGCTAAAATCATGGTGTGGCAGGGCTGTGCTCCTTATTGGAGGCTCTGGGGGGAGTCTGCTTCCAGGGTCATTGAGAGGGTTGGTGGACATCACTTCCACGTGGTTGCAGGACTGAGGTCCTGGTCTCATTTCTGGTTGTTGGTCACGGCCATTCTCAGCTTTGAGAGGCCGCCTTCATTCCTTGGCTCATGGCTTCCTTCTTCTGTCTTCAAAGCCAGCAATGGCAGTTTGAGCCCTTCTCATGCTCGAGATCTCTCTGAGCACCGCTTCCAGCTCCTCTGTCCTCTGCCTCCCTCTTCCTCCACATCTCTCTGCCTCATTCCTCCACCTTCCTCTTCTGCTTTTCAAGGCCCCTGTGATTACATCAGGCTCAATTGGATAATCCAGGACACTCCCTATTTTAAAATCAGCTGGCTAGTAACCTTAATTTCCTCTGCAAAATCTCTTCACAGTAGTGCCTAGGTTAGTGTTGGGTTAAATGTGCAGGGGTAAGAATGTTGGAAGATGTCTTAGAATTCTGCCTACCATGGTAGTGATTAGCAGAGAGAACAAGAAAACTCTTTGTGGACAGGAAGTTGCTAGAGGTCAGGGCCAGGATCAACCACTAGATGAATGTTTTGAAATGATTATTATTTTAGCAGTGACCATCGATGTCTACAGATGACAGACCCTGCGTCTGTTAGAGCAAATTGGGGAGTATAGACTTACATTTATTCCAGGCTTTACAGTTTACAAAGTCTTTTCTAGAATTGGCTTAGAATCCTGAGCTGTGTGCAGAGGGCAGGCAGGGTGTCTCAGAGGTGCCTCGGGGACTGCTGAAAGGTGGGGAGGAGGAGACTGCCAGAGGTTAAGCCGGCAGGGCTCTGTCCTCCTCCTCAGCCTTCAAACTGGAACAGTTCTGCTTTGATAGGTTTTGGGTATTGGATTAGAATGCAGATGAGTTCTGAAGAAATGCTTCTTCATGAAATGGTCTTCAGGGTGCCTTGTGAGGTAGATGGGGCAGCGTTTAATTTCTCTGTCTTGCCAGTGAGGAAGCAGGTTCTTTGAGGTTCCACAATATTCCCAGAATCCATTCAGCCAGCGATGCTTCACTCTGCTCAGAACATGCTGGCAGTTGCTGCCCGAAAGTGGCCTGCAGAGCCCACTTATAAGCCACGTGCTGAAAATCAGCTTTCTTTTGCTCTGTGAAATCTCATTTTAAACCTCAAATACTATGCTCCAGCTTGATTTTTTTTTTAAGATGTCAGACATGGCACTCAGCATTCTGGACTTTTCCCACAAATTCATGCTGTGCAACCATGCAACGATATTTTAAATGATGTGCTAAGTGCTAAACTCAACTGCAAAAAAATTTCTCACAGATAGATAACTGATTGTGTGCGTGTGTGTGTGCGCGCGCATGCGTGTGTGTGTTGGGGAAGGGAGGGGAATCATTGAAATAAGTCCAAGTCCCATATAAGAATCTACTTTGAAAAAGATGAGACTAATTTGGAGGCATATACTTTTCTAGAGTGTTTTTTATAGAAAAAAAGTCACCCAATTTCACCATATTTAGGTTTTGATCGATTTAATAAAGGCCCTTGAAATCACTGGAAAAAGGACAAAGAGGAAATGGAAAATACTCTGAGTCTGTGGCATGCTATCAACTAAAATATTAAAGTTGTACGCTGCTAAGCTTTCAGACTTTTCTCTTGCTTTTGGAAAGGGATGGGTTTTCCTCCTGGCAGCAGAATTTTTACAGTATTATTGAGGCTGTAAGTAAGAACGCTGCTGTCTATATGAAAAGCATTAGCAGAGAAAAGTAAGCGAAGTGGTTGATTTGCGGGGTATTTCCTAGAGAGAAAACCATGCTTATCTGTCTTTCCTTCCTTTGAAGTGGTCTCAGACGAAGTGGGGGGCTTTGAGAAGGAGAGGTAGCGGGGAGGGAGGGAAGTCAGGCCAGGGAAGTGTATGTGGGAAGAGCAGCCTGGGTTGCCGCCCCCAGCCCCGTCCTGGCCACGGGCAGAGACACCCGCGCATTAGCGGTTGGTTCGGCTGCAATATTCACAGCACATTTGCTGGGTTCAATTGATCGCTGCAGGCAAGAGATAGCGTCAGCAAGGATGTGGTTCGGAGGGGCCTGGTGCTCCAGGGCTTCCGCTCTCACACATCATCAAGACCCATTTCGAAATGGTTTGAATTAATGACACTTATTCAGACAGACAAAGTAGGTAAATGGAAATGTTAGACAAGGCTTTTCACCTACTTTGCTTAACATTTCCCGTTACCTTGAGTGCTGGAAACTCTCCACAGGTCTTACTCGGCCTGAACCGGAGCTGCCTGAGCTCACACCCCGCGCGGCCTGAAGCAGACGTGCCTCTGCCCACGTCGGGAGGGTTACAGGGAAGGAGG